AATAAAGATTTTATTTTTATTTAATTTATTACAATACAAACAAGGTCACAGAAAACATTTTTTTTTAAATATTTTATTATAATTATTAAAAAAAAACTTGTACTTTGAGGAAACAAAAACTCACATTATATATTTTTTTTATACAAAACTAGCTCTGAATATCAACTTATTCTGTAACTAACCTCAACTTATTTTTATGTAATTATTACGATAGTAAAATTTTCCTAGTAAGAAAAATTTTCCACAAACAAGAAAAATTTCATGAAAGTGGAGAATCGGAAATCTAGGAAGAGTTTGATTATAAAAAATTACGGATAATCTATGTTTTGATGAAAAACAGCATTAAATGTTGGTATATTTCAAATAATTTTAACATAAACAAATTACAATTAAATTAAAAAGGAAATTTTATCTGCTTAAAGGTGCTGTAATTTTCGATTATCTAAATTATTATTTTTTATTTTTATCATTTCTAGTCTATAAAAAATGTGAACTACATATAAACCTACAGAACTTGAGTTTTTTTTTTTTTTAATTTATTTGTTGTTTTTGATATCTTATGTCAACTTTTTCAATAATTCTCATTATTTAATGGGCACTCTGCATAAATAAATATGTATAACTTTCAATCTTTGTATTTTTTATAAATTTCACTAATAAAGATTATCTTTCAGAAATTTAATGCTGCTTTAAATAAAGCAATCCGGTTTGTTATACATCAGAGTTATTAATAACCCATATATGCCCATGAATGTAAATCATTTTAGATTTTTGAAGGCCTTCTCGTTTTGAAAATCTGCATTTTTATTTGATGTTTCGACTGGTTTTTCGATCGTTATTAAAATCTTATATACCGTTATCATTGCAGTAAACCATAAATTTTTCTTTTGATTCACTTTCTGTTAAGAAGACAACATGTCTATTTTCCTAAAAATTAAAACAAAATTTGTTGTGATGCAATGCATACTAAAAAGAAATTAAGAATTAGTCGAATTAGCCGCTATATTCTGTGAATTCTAATGTTTTTCTGCTATTACCCACGAAGAATCTTTTAAGTGAAGGAATTTAAAAATGATCTGTCCTCCGTTAACTCGCATTTTCTTGTTCCAGAAAGGTGTCATCTTCCAAAGTATACCTTCGTGTTCGTGTTCGTGGGCTATCCATCAATTATCTACGGCAGTCCATTATATCCTTCACTTATGATGGCCATACCTACCATCTGAAACTGAGTTGCTTCCTATACATGTTCCACTGGATTCACATCCACAATCACTAACCGTTGTAACGCTATTTTTAATCACAGTTATAATCTTAGGTTTCTTGAACGTTTATTTTCTGTATGACTGCTTAAATGTTTCTGAAAATAAGCATTTTATATGTCCCGTAAGTAAAGGAAAATATTTAAACAGATGATAGCAAACAAAAAAACTTCTGCCAAGTAAGGTATAGTTTCCTCACCGTTTTCATTTGCTAAAAAATATCTATATTAAAAGATCTAAAAATTTTCTTATGAGAATAAAATCTCTGGAAGAAGCCGTTTTCGGAAATTTCAATTATCCTAAATATAAACGGGCTTGAATCCAGAGTTTTGTTTTCCGCATTTGTCATGATTGCATATTTGATAACTCGTAATTAAAAAAAAAATCCATTGCATACTGAATATGTATCTCGCTACTGTTAGTGCAGATGACATATATAAAAATTGAATGTTTTACTAGAGAGCAAAAAAAAAATTATTTCATTATGATTTATTAGTACAATTTTATATTTTAATGTCCTCTATTATTTTTCATAGTAGCAGACTACTTATATCAATTGCAGACTACATAATGTTAAAAATAGGATAAAAATTGAAAACTTTTACATACGACCTTCGCACTAAAATTAGTGATATATACTTAATAGAAAGAAAGAAAAGAAAGACTTTTATTCTGGGGCATTTAGTCCCCTCAGAATAACTACAATGAACAGAGAAATGACAATTGTTTGTAGGTATGTTTTCACTCGCAAAATGGATCGAACAAAAAATCCATAAGAAAAATTGAACTTTTTGTTTGTTCGGCGTTAACGAGACCAATACTTTTCTTCAGTCAGAACAAGACTAATATAAAAATATGAGTGATGTTGACACAATTTTGATATTGAAGGAGAAAATCGAGACGAGCTGGTCGAACTTCAATGGAAATAAACACAATCACAAATAAGACTTTTTTTTTTACAAATTCAGAGTAAAAATTACTTTAAATTTACTGAAAATTACACGAAATCTATGTAACGGCAATAAGTGTCATGCCAGTAACGTTTGGAATCGACCAAACAATACAGTATAAATTAACTTTTTTGAATAAAACCTAAAATTTTATAACCACATAACAATATTGTAATAACCTAACTCCCACTCCATATGATCAGTGCCTTCCACATTTCACAGCCATTATATTGTTAACAATTATTTATATTAATTTTAATTATCAAATGGAATTCAATGAAATTGATACTAAATAATTTCTATACTGTTCTCCAAATTTCCTCCAATTTTGTATTAAATCAAATGCGCCGTTTTCAAACTAGAGGCATATCAAATAACACATTTCCTGATCTGAAAGTAGTGCTGGTTAGAATTTAATAAAATTGATATGGGACCATCTAGACACCGCACAATCCCTGAAAATTTCATGAAAATTGGATAAACGGTGGTAGGTGAAATGCCCAGTACATCGATTTGACTAAATGTGATCCTTGATGTCTGAAAGGTAAAACGCGAGTGGAAATTTTCGATTCTGAGCACAACATTTTTTTTAACCTCTCGCACGAATACAATAATTCTCTACCTTCGGTACTGAGGAAGCAAAAAGTTTTCTATAAACAATGGTGCGATTTCTCTCAGAAAAGTAGGAAATTTTAGTTTTTTGTTTTTTTAAAGTAAGGCATGTTTTTGTTGAATAGGAAGAGATAACTAAAAAAAAATACTAAATCGAGACAACTAAATTTTTTTTTATTTTAAACTGGTCAAAATTTGCTAGTAAGTGTAAGTAAATTTTCTCTTTGTTATAAGCATTTAAATTAAACTTTTAAGCGGCTAACCTACGCTCTGGTTTTCATGATATCATTAATTATTCACGATTTTGTTTTCTATCATTCTTCAAATCGAATATAGACATCTCTTCATCACTTTTAGAAAAACTTCCTAGATTAATAAGCTTCAAGTCCTTATAAATTACGTTGAGATTTAATATGGAGTAAGTTGATATTCACTACTAGCATGGCAAAAATAATATGGGACATCCTATCACCCTAAAATGCCACTTTCCATTTACATATATTTTTTAGCATAAATAAGTATGATAATTTAATAAAAAGTTTTTTTTTCATAATCGGAGTTTTATTGGGTTAATTTATTTTATTTTACATTATAATTGCTACTACGTTTTAAGTAAATGGGTAGCCGTTCATTTTTTTTCCAGACATTTATTTACATTGTGAGCAGGAGATCTCTAGGCCGCTGACTTTTTAGTGCTGGTTGATACTCATCAGGTTACAGAAAAGAAGAAAGAGACAGGGCTGGTGGACTTTTTTGATTGAGAGTAGAATAGTTGTGTGTTGTGTATTTTTTATGTATGTAGGATTTTACTTTTGGTATATGCATGTCGTTGTTTATGATGTCATTTGCAATAAACCAAGGAGCATTTACGATTTTACGAAGTATTTTGCATTATATGGTTGGACTGTTGTTCATGTGGACGTGTTATGCAGAACCCCTAGTGTATAATCCCAGAACCCCAGAACCCCATATGCCCAAATAGTTCTTAGTGTGGGGTAGAGTTCAATAGTCCAAAAAGTGTGACCTGTATCGTCTGGTAAGTTTTTTTTCTTCTAATTTTCTGTGTATGTTGCAAGTGTTTCTATATAGTCCAAGATACCGTAAATAAGTTTTTAAATTTTAGTATAGAATAACGTTCTTAGTTGAAGAAAGTTCTATAAAAAGGAAGTTTTTTCTGGATAAATATTTTTTTAAAAATACAAATATATATATATATATATATATATATATATATATTGTAACATATTTTATTAGGGCCTTTATAAATTGTAATTGTTAATAGAACTCATGTTCACGTTTTGTTCTTTTATTGAACTGTGTAAAAAGGAGCATTTATATGTAATATATTTATAAATTTAATTTATTTCTAGATATTGTATTAATTTTAGTTGTGATTTAATTTGAAATTAAAAACAAACAATAATAACATTTAACTAGTGATAAGGATTAAAAGGTACAATGTATTAGAGCTAACGGACGGGAGGTCCTTCTCTGTCAAAGGTTGAATTGTAAATGATTAGTGGTATAGTGTTTTGGAGGTTGCGCGTGGCGCCCTCTAGGCGTTGTTCTAATGAACTATTTAATTCATTTATGCAAGTCATTGCTTTTTCTAATAATGATTAATAATTTTAATAGCGCAACCTGTTAATTTCCTAGTGAACTATGAATTTCATTTTGAAGCTATTTATTATTTCTTTTTGTAATTACTGATTTTGTAAATAACTAATGTTTGTAATATTTTTAAAATAAGTATTCATGTACTATAATTAAATAAAAATAAAAGGAGTTTGGACTTAGAGATCTCAGGGCCTAGTTAAAATAATTGTTACTAGTGTAGCCTCTCACCAACCTGAAAACAGGTCTGAGGGCTGATTATTAGTTTAAATACTGGCCTGATTCCTAGGGCAGGCACTCTCTCCCGAGTCACTACCTTCTCACATAGGCTCCTGGTATCTCTCTGTCTGACAGTTTGAAGCCAGACCAATGTGTTATTTTTTGGTTTTACCTTCCTCCTTCTCTATTCTCTCCTAACCTACCTCCTCTCTCCTTTCGTAGGAATAACTTGGTTGGCCCTTGTTTTCCTACAGTCCCCCTTGCATCTTCCAGGTTGTCCCTGGGAGTGTAGGGTTACCTATCCTCGCAATGTCAGGGGATTGCCTCCTCGGTTGCAGAGCCCTGGATGTGTAGGGGTTGTCCCCCTATCATTCTTGGCGGTCTTACCTTATCCTATCCTCGCAACGTCAGGGGATTGCCTCCTCGGTTGCAGAGCCCTGGATGTGTAGGGGTTGTCCCCCTATCATTCTTGGCGGTCTTACTATCCTATCCTCGCAACGTCAGGGGATTGCCTCCTCGGTTGCAGAGCCCTGGATGTGTAGGGGTTGTCCCCCTATCATTCTTGGCGGTCTTATCCTATCCTCGCAACGTCAGGGGATTGCCTCCTCGGTTGCAGAGCCCTGGATGTGTAGGGGTTGTCCCCCTATCATTCTTGGCGGTCTTACCTTATCCTATCCTCGCAACGTCAGGGGATTGCCTCCTCGGTTGCAGAGCCCTGGATGTGTAGGGGTTGTCCCCCTATCATTCTTGGCGGTCTTACCTTATCCTATCCTCGCAACGTCAGGGGATTGCCTCCTCGGTTGCAGAGCCCTGGATGTGTAGGGGTTGTCCCCCTATCATTCTTGGCGGTCTTACCTTATCCTATCCTCGCAATGTCAGGGGATTGCCTCCTCGGTTGCAGAGCCCTGGATGTGTAGGGGTTGTCCCCCTATCATTCTTGGCGGTCTTACCTTATATACCTTATCCTTCTCATCCTATCTAAGCTTGTACACCCCATTCTTACAAACTTAAATAGATACACGAATACCAGGTTAATTGACTAACAGAAAGATTAAAGGTTAGAAGGACAGATTTCAGATTTTAAAAGACAAACGTCGGCAATAACATACAGACAGACAGAGAGATAAATAAGAGATAAAAATAAAAATATTACATTTTGGCATCCCTTGTAAAGGAACGATTAAAATAACCGACTCTTTGGGTTAGAAATGGATAACATTAACGAACCAGTTACCGAAGAAATGTCCCAAGATTATGAAGAAGGTCTAACAAAGACACAACTTGGAAACACAGAGATGTGGATGGAACAGATATTTGCTAAACTGTCAAAACAATTAAGAACCGAAATAAAACTAATATCAGAAGGATTCAAAGAAAAGGCTTTAGAATCAAGAAGCGAGATGAGACAACTGATATCAGAAGAATTCAGAAATCAGTCTGAAAAATTAAACGAAAAACTAGAAGATGTAGCAAGGAAACTAGGTAGAAGGATGGAAAAAATACAGTCTGATTTGACCAACCGGATTGAGAAGAATGAAGACAGGCTGAATAACATAGAACTTGACTTTGAGACAAAACTGACCACTTCGGTTGAACAGAATAAAATAGAAAATACAGAAAAATATGAAAACCTAAGAATACATGTTAACAAAGTAAATGAGGAGATAAAGAGAGACTTAAATATCCATGAGGAGAAGATGGAAGCTCTAAGCAAAAGAATTAACATCTTAGAGAAGAACAGACCTATACAGGTTGTAAATATGGAGCCAAGAACTCCTAATATACTACGAACTGATACCAACTGCCCGCCAAGTATAATAGCCAGTAATTGTGGTATCTCAGACATGTTAAAAGCGCTGAACTCAACGTTGATTCAGCAAAATAAGGGGATGAACCAGAAACCTTTATTCTTTAGGAACAGTAAGAAGGATATTCCTACAGAGTTTAATAACTCTCTAAGATCACAATATCAATTATGGGGACACACACTAATATTTCAGGACTTCATCAGACAGCACCTAAGAGATGAGGCATTAGTATGGTGGCTAATGCACGAAACTGAAATAAATGAAATAGACAGTTTCAGTGAAAAATTTTTAAGTAAATTTTGGAGAGGAAAATATGATCCTATTTTCTGGGAAGAATTGAATCATGGAAGTTACTTCTACCACACAAATATAAGTCCGCAGCAGTACTTCTGCAATATGATACTAAGAGCTCGGGCATGTGAACATAAGCTAGACGAGGAATTCATCTGTAAATCAATGGCAAGACATTTTGGGAACACTATCGAAGAAATAATGTTATATCAAGGAATTAATAGTATTGATGGATTTTTGGAGGTTCTAAACCGTTTTGGGAGAGAAAGAATTCTCAAGGAAAATAATTCCTACCAGAGGCCTTCGGCTAGATATCTTGAAGATAAAGAGCCACCTCAGATGAAAACTAATCAACAGGTGAAGGACCAAGGAAATAACCTGCCTTCAAGACCTTATAATGAAAAAATAAACACCAGTAAGTACAACACTGGTTTGCGACCTTATGATAAAACCTACTCAAACCCAGTACAGAGAAGAAACTTTGATAGAAGCCAGAATTGGAATCAGTCCAATCCTCAAGTGAACAAAATTACCGTAGTAAAGGAGAAAAATAATCAAGAACCTGTCAACAGTTATCAACAGAAAACATATCCTGATGAACAGGCAAGACAGAATATAAATAATCAGACTTTCGAAGAGAACTACAGGCCAGCAATTGCTAAACAGCCAGTACAGACCGAAGAGGAAGATAACATAAATATTGCTTATATACCAGAAGATAGTCATGAGGACTGGCAATTAAGGAACAATGGCTCGGTAAACCACATTCAAACTATATCTTTACCTACCGAACCTTCTCAACCCATCACAGAATATGAAGAACCAAATATTGAAGAATATGAGTATCCAAAATCAGAAACAACACAAAATCATAAGAAGATCCAAGCCTTAGTAAATTCAGGCTATAAAACAGTCAGTTTAAGCCAGGAAGCACGTAAAATAGAGTTGGAGCACACTGGACTAGAGAAACTACCAGTACCTAACACTGTAGCAGAGACGACTACTAGATGGTCTAAGCCTATGAGGGAGAAAATAACTACGGATGTAATTCTACCTAACCACGCCATCAACGACGAAGGCAGAATAATCCAAGAAGAACCAGAAGACCCTAGAAGCTATCTCCGCGGTAAAGTTAAAATAAAACGACTATGATAAAGCCGATAGTCTCAATCGGGTACAGACTAAAAGGACTTTTTAAAGGAAATTTTTCGTGTCTAATGATCTTTGTAATAAAACACACAGCTTACTTGTTAGATAAAAGATATGACTTTTTTATAATATAGCGACTTTTTTAACTGAAAACTATTGTTATCTAATTTTATACTTGTTTAGAAAAATGTTTAATGATGAAGTAAATAATAACTTGTAATAATTTTAACGATTATATCACTGAATTATTTTTTTATTTGACAATTATAAAAAAAAAAAAAATGTTTAATAATCATTTTTTTTTAAACACAGGAAAGGGTAAATGTAACATATTTTATTAGGGCCTTTATAAATTGTAATTGTTAATAGAACTCATGTTCACGTTTTGTTCTTTTATTGAACTGTGTAAAAAGGAGCATTTATATGTAATATATTTATAAATTTAATTTATTTCTAGATATTGTATTAATTTTAGTTGTGATTTAATTTGAAATTAAAAACAAACAATAATAACATTTAACTAGTGATAAGGATTAAAAGGTACAATGTATTAGAGCTAACGGACGGGAGGTCCTTCTCTGTCAAAGGTTGAATTGTAAATGATTAGTGGTATAGTGTTTTGGAGGTTGCGCGTGGCGCCCTCTAGGCGTTGTTCTAATGAACTATTTAATTCATTTATGCAAGTCATTGCTTTTTCTAATAATGATTAATAATTTTAATAGCGCAACCTGTTAATTTCCTAGTGAACTATGAATTTCATTTTGAAGCTATTTATTATTTCTTTTTGTAATTACTGATTTTGTAAATAACTAATGTTTGTAATATTTTTAAAATAAGTATTCATGTACTATAATTAAATAAAAATAAAAGGAGTTTGGACTTAGAGATCTCAGGGCCTAGTTAAAATAATTGTTACTAGTGTAGCCTCTCACCAACCTGAAAACAGGTCTGAGGGCTGATTATTAGTTTAAATACTGGCCTGATTCCTAGGGCAGGCACTCTCTCCCGAGTCACTACCTTCTCACATAGGCTCCTGGTATCTCTCTGTCTGACAGTTTGAAGCCAGACCAATGTGTTATTTTTTGGTTTTACCTTCCTCCTTCTCTATTCTCTCCTAACCTACCTCCTCTCTCCTTTCGTAGGAATAACTTGGTTGGCCCTTGTTTTCCTACAGTCCCCCTTGCATCTTCCAGGTTGTCCCTGGGAGTGTAGGGTTACCTATCCTCGCAATGTCAGGGGATTGCCTCCTCGGTTGCAGAGCCCTGGATGTGTAGGGGTTGTCCCCCTATCATTCTTGGCGGTCTTACCTTATCCTATCCTCGCAACGTCAGGGGATTGCCTCCTCGGTTGCAGAGCCCTGGATGTGTAGGGGTTGTCCCCCTATCATTCTTGGCGGTCTTACTTATCCTATCCTCGCAACGTCAGGGGATTGCCTCCTCGGTTGCAGAGCCCTGGATGTGTAGGGGTTGTCCCCCTATCATTCTTGGCGGTCTTACCTTATCCTATCCTCGCAACGTCAGGGGATTGCCTCCTCGGTTGCAGAGCCCTGGATGTGTAGGGGTTGTCCCCCTATCATTCTTGGCGGTCTTACCTTATCCTATCCTCGCAACGTCAGGGGATTGCCTCCTCGGTTGCAGAGCCCTGGATGTGTAGGGGTTGTCCCCCTATCATTCTTGGCGGTCTTACCTTATCCTATCCTCGCAACGTCAGGGGATTGCCTCCTCGGTTGCAGAGCCCTGGATGTGTAGGGGTTGTCCCCCTATCATTCTTGGCGGTCTTACCTTATCCTATCCTCGCAATGTCAGGGGATTGCCTCCTCGGTTGCAGAGCCCTGGATGTGTAGGGGTTGTCCCCCTATCATTCTTGGCGGTCTTACCTTATATACCTTATCCTTCTCATCCTATCTAAGCTTGTACACCCCATTCTTACAAACTTAAATAGATACACGAATACCAGGTTAATTGACTAACAGAAAGATTAAAGGTTAGAAGGACAGATTTCAGATTTTAAAAGACAAACGTCGGCAATAACATACAGACAGACAGAGAGATAAATAAGAGATAAAAATAAAAATATTACAATATATATATATATATTTAACTTTTTCATTTATATTTAACATGTGCTATCAGTTTGAATTAATTTAAGTACCTAATAGAACTCTTAATCTAGTTAAAGATTTATCGAGAACTATCACATACATCATCATCTAAAAATATTAAGAATTCAACAACAAAGGGGTTGTTTGTATTCAAAAAGTATACATATTTCAAATATTGAAAAAAACGAATAAAATAACAAAAACAAATTCTTCTAACATTACAACTTTTATCAAACGCAGGATTCTATGTCAAGGGGAATAAACCACAAGCCTTAATTCAATAACGTAATGATGCAAGATAATAGGTTTGTGATCGTCTAGTAATAACATGTTACTATTTTCGAACATTCGTCGGTAGATGAACATATTTCGGAGTAA